CCTTCCCTACACTAGCGGTATGAAGATTTTCTCCTACGTTACCTTCTAGAAGCTCTATTGTGTTGTCTTTCACATTTAGACTTGTGAACCATCTGGAATTAATTCTTTTTTAACTTAATACAATGGAAACTTTCCAGAAAAAAAGTAGAAAGAAAAGTACTTTAATAAACCCCTATAGCTTCAGCTTCAAAAATTATCAACTTTTTACCAGTCTTGTTTTATCTAGTCTCCCCCATCCTACTTTTTTTTCTTGTTTATTTTAATGGAAATCTCAGATATAATATCATTTTACCTGTAAATACTTCATTATATATCTTTAACAGATAAGGCTATGTTTTAAAAACACAACCACAATATCAAACCTAACAAAATCAACAGATTGTTGTGAGGCAGTGACCACATTTCATTCTTCCCAGTGATGCCATCCAACTGACTGAGCACCACTGACTGAATAGGCTGAGCAAAAGAGGCCAGACACGAAAGAATGCTTAGGGTAGGGTTCTTAGCTAGTTCACAAAACTAGCAGAACCATGGTGTAGGGGCTCAGATGGTGAAACTCTATAAAGTGAGGAAATGATAACCAGAAAGGAGTGGATCATGGTCACCCTTGTAGGGGACAGAAGGGGTAGTGATTGGGAAGGGACAGGACAGGGGCTTCGGAGATGCTAGCTTTTTTCTCTTCCCCCATTGTACTCAGCACCATCTTTGTCATAAATCAAGTGTCCATTCTATTCGGTTCTATTGGTCTGCTTTTAAAATTATTTTAGCTTTATAATGAATCTTAATATCCAAAAAAGTCCTCTTCCCACTTCATCCTTTTTTAAGAGTATCTTGGCTATTCTTGGAGCTTTAATTTTCTACATATGACATCTTTTCAGTTCTTCAATCCATGAGACACAGTATTGGAACACTTATTTAGGTCTCCTTTTATTTCTCTCAACAGTGTTTCATAGTTTTTTATGTAGATCTACATTTTCCTGTAGATTCTTTGGGATTTTCTATGTCCAACCATCTATGTGAGCTACCGTTGCCCAGAGAATCAAAATTTTTAATAACTTTCTAGTTTTATACTGTCATTTAGCAGAGGAGGAAATTGTGGCCCAAAGAAATTAAATGCTTTGGTCAAGGTCACAGAGGTAGTCAGAAGCAAACCCAAGACTAAAACTGAGTGCCCTGGCCCCAAGTTCTTTCTTGCTTCTCTTATATCAAAAACACCAAAAGAGGTCTAGATTTATTATTTTTAATAATAATATTCTGCATAAAACACAACCTTTAGAAGTGCTTCCTAAATAGAATCCTTGACAAATCAATCGAACAAGCCCTTGTTAAGGTGCTATGGGTAAGCAGTAAGGCACCAACCTGGAAAGGGTTCCCCGTAGTTCTTGTAACGCTATTACTTTTTCCCATGTATCATTCACCACGAAATGCAAAAAGACTACAAATGTTTAAGTGGAATGATCTCTAACCTATAAATTACACCAGGCACGACCAAACAAATGATCACATACAGTGGAAGCCTAAGGTGACACACGGCTATTTCCAAAGCAGATAACAACAGTGAGGTGACAAGCAGCCAGTTTCTTGCTGATTTGCAAAAAAGAACAGATAACTACTGGCAGAATGACTGCCCATGGGGCAGGGGCAGGGGCAGACTTGGACTGGAAAAACAATGTGGCTCTGAAAAAGCTGGTTCAATTCCGAATCTACCTTTCCCGTCATTACACTATTTACACCGTAAGGTCAAAATGTGATCATGAGAAATCATTCACACTATTTCCCTGACTTCACGCTGATAATATCCTACACAGTTTGGGGGTCTATCCTATTTTTAAAAGTATCTAGGAAAAAGTCCCTTATTCTATCATATCCTTCAGCCCTGCCTTCACTGGGCCAATCCACTCCCGGGTTATGGGAAACCATTTTGGCAAGCGCTTCTCTCATGTGCTGTGACTGATTTCCTATTATTTAGAAACAGCCAACTAACCAACACAACTTAACTCCTTTTAGACAAAAAATTGGTGTGAATGTGATAATTCTCAATATCCTCTAAGATTATCATAACAAAATGTCCTACCTTTTCATCTCGGAAATTTAGAAATTGCTGGAAAACCTCACTTTCTGAGATTACTGGGTGACGACACATCCTGGTCATCCACGCCTGAAGCCTCTCCATGCGCATCTTGATAAACTCTTCTTCAAAGCGACCTGCAAGAGACATGCCGAGAGTGATGTGCCGCGCAGTCAAAGACGAATCCCTGTTACCCCAACTGAAAGACTCTTTATGTAGCTACTGGCCACTTGTAGAGAGTTATTCAGTAAAAGATAAACCATGGTAATTTTTCACTAAGCTAAAAACACACAACATAGTGGATGCTCAAAGACCCACAGGAAAGGTAATCAACAAATCTGAAAGAAAATTTTATCTCAATATGAAAACTTTTCTTTCTTATAAACTTAACAAGCCAGTGCCTATGTGGCCATATGAAGCCTTATAGGCAAGAAAGGGGGATAAAAATGGAAATTAACAAGCAATTCTTACAAAGTATGTGAAATTTCTGTATTTATAAAAATGTGTCTAAATGCAACATAATCTCAGATATACAAATTTAAATTTAGTATTTCTGAAAAGTATCTCAGAACTGTAAGGTTTTTTTTCCTGTTTTGTTTTTTAAACTACTTAAATGAAAAACAGAAAAAGCAATTTTTTCATGAATGCAAAAATGAAAGTCATCCCAGAACTTAATGACCATCGTAAAAACAGAGCTTAATGGGTGATATTTCTGTTCTAAAAGTGGAAAATTGGCTTAACAAACCTGACATACCAAACATCAAGTGAACAACGAGAATTTTTATAAGCCTAACAAACAAAATCACTATCAGTTAAAAGGCTTCTGGAGGTGGAAATTCTGGCTACAGCTGAGTGCAGAGCAGGGGCAAGACAGGTTCCACCCACTTTCACGAGTTTGATCAAATACTGGACCTACTCAAGGGTAGAGAGAAAAGGCAACTTTCAAAAACGAGTATATTCGCTACCAAATGTAAAATAGCTAGTGGAAAGCAGCCACACAGCACAGGGAGATCAGCTCGGTGCTTTGTGACCACCTAGAGGGGTGGGATAGGGAGGGTGGGAGGGAGACGCAAGAGGGAGGAGATATGGGGATATATGTATACGTAGAGCTGATTCACTGTTATACAGCAGAAACTAACACACCAATGTAAAGCAATTATACTCCAATAAATATGTTGAAGAAAAAAAAAGGAGTATATTATTAAATGAGGCGTTTACTACACTCCTTCCTAAGAGCACCAGGTGGGGAATACGTTTTCTAAACTAGATCTAGGAAGTGGAATGTGAAATCAATCCGTCCTCTTCCCCTTAAGGGCTGTCCAATGGTTAATGAATTAAAAAAACGACTAAATGAAAACAAATCCCACACACACTCCCCTGCCCAAACAAAAAGGAAAAGAAAAAAAAAAACCTAGATATCCCAGATTACTCAACAGAGTGGAACCCGGGAACAGCTTCAAGAACCCAAATTAGTCTGTTACAGAGTCATCACAAGCATGCCTTGCTTTTAAACAAAATAATAATAATAATTTTTTTGAAAGAACAAAACAAGAACTTATTTAGCTAATTGCTAAACCTAGTCCCCAGAAGCAACTATAAAGCTGGACAAAATCCACAAAAATAAGGGCTCTGGAAATCAACCAAAGGCAAACAGCCACGTGAGAAGTGTTTACGCTCCCAAACCGCTGAACTTCAGGCCAGAACAGTGGGAATCTGTGGCGTTCTGGCCTGGGGCTGCACCCCTCTCCCTCTATTCCGTTCTATTCCATTTACAGGAGAACCCTCCCCATGAAATTCTTACATATTAATCTAGGAAAACACATGCAGAATCTGTATGCTGAAAACTACAAAACCCAAAAAATCAAATATGACATATGTATGTTCTTGGATTAGAAGACTACACATTGTTTTCAGTTCTCCCAAAATTGGTCTATAGAATCAATGCAACTCCAATAAAAATCCCAGCATGATTATTAATAGATATCTGACTAGAAATAGTCATGCTGACTCTTAAATTTACATGGAAAGGCAAAAGAAAAAGAACAGCCAAAAACGATTTTGAAGTAGAACCAAGTTGGAGGATTTACACTACCTGATTTCAAGACTTACTGTACAATAGAGCTACACTACTCAAGACTGTGTGGTACTGGCAAAAGGACGGACACATATATCAATGGAACAGAGTCCAGAAATAAACCCACACAAATGTGTTCAACTGATTTTTTGACAAAATGCAAAGGAAACTCAATAAAGAAAGGATACGCTCTTCAACAGATAGTGCCAAGAACCACTAGATAACCAGACGTATTATAATATATACCTCTACCACCTCATATCTTATACAAACCTTAACTCAAAATGTATCATAGACCTAAAACCACCAAACTTTTAGAAGAAAGTATCAGTGTAAACTTGGGTTAGGCAAAGAGGTCTTAATCATGATACTTAAAGCACAATCCATAAAAGAAACAACTGACACATTGGACTTCATTAAAATTAAAAGGTGATGTTATGCAAAAGACACTGTTAAAAGAAAGGCCACACCTGGGACAAATTATTCGCAAATCACATTATTTGTCAGAGGACATGTTTCCAGAATATATAAAGAATCTTGTTTCAAAATTCGATGATAAGAAAACAACCTAATAAAAAAATGGGCAAAAGATTTGAAAAGACACTTTACCAGAGAAAATTTATGGAAAGGAAATAAGCAAATGAAAAGATGCTCTACACCACCAGTCATTAGGGAAATGCAGTTTGAGACCATGAGGAGACAACACCACTACATTAGATACACCACCAGTCATTAGGGAAATGCAGATTGAGACCATGAGGAGACAACACCACTACATTAGACTATTATACTTACTAAAATAAAGAAAAACAGACACTATCAAAAGTGCAAGTAAGGGGCTTCCCTGGTGGCACAGTCGTTGAGAGTCCGCCTGCCAATGCAGGGGACACGGGTTCGTGCCCCGGTCCGGGAAGATCCCACATGCCGTGGAGCGGCTGGGCCCGTGAGCTATGGCCGCTGAGCCTGCGCGTCCGGAGCCTGTGCTCCGCAACGGGGAGAGGCCACAAAAGTGAGAGGCCCGTGTACTGCAAAAAAAAACAAAAACAAAAAAACAGTGCAAGTAAGGATGTGGAGCCCCTGATAATCCCATCCATTGCTGGTAGGGATCCCAAAGTGGCACAGCCACTCTGGAAAACAGCCTGGCAATTTCTTAAACATTAAATAGTATATACCTACCATATGACCCAGTCATTCCACTCCTAGGAATTTATCCAAGAGAAATGAAAACTTATATTTATACAAAAACTTGTATGTAAATGTTTATAGCAGACTTATAAATGGCCAAAACTGGAAACCCAAACATCCTTCAAAGAGTGAGTAGATAAGCAGACTATGGTATAGCCAATACAGTGACATACTACTCAGCAATGAAAAGAAACCAACTATTGATACTCACAACGAGAGATGAATCTCAAATGCATTATGCTAAGTGAAAGAAGCCAGACTCAAAAGACCCAAAAGCCCGACGACATACACACTATATGCTTCCATTTATAATGATATTCTAGACAAGGCAAAATTATAGGGACAAAGAACTGATCAGTGTTGCCATGGGTTAGGACTAGGGGGAGGGGCTGAATACAAAGGAACAGCACAAGGAAATTTAGGGGAGGTGATGGAACTTTCTGTATCTTGAATGTAGTGATAGGACTGTGGTGGTACCTGTTAAAACTCTTAGAACTGTACACCAAAAAGAGTGAACCTACTATATATAAGTAACAAAAAAAAACACAGCCTGGACTTTCCCTAAGAAACTGCAAGTACAAATAAGTACAAGTTTTCTTTAATGAGAAGAGTATTATAAATCCACATAAATCAAAAACTCCTAAAAAGTGGCCCTTGGACAGCTTGATGGGTCTAGACCCTCCTGTATACTAAAACACTTCAAATTCTACACTTACTAGGGGTAGAGATCAAGCACTACAGAAGCGTAAGCTGTGTGGAAGATGGCCCACCTCGTTTGTCAGAAAAGACCCTGTAAGTCAGCACGGACCTCAGGGCTATACTGAATTCCCCATTACGAGCAAGTAAATTATACCAAGAGTTTATAACCTACTCATTGGTTGGAATTAATTAATTGCTGACTCTTATTCCTCCTGAAATTTTTTCTGACACACCTGGTTTATTTACAAACTGTGACTTCAGATGTTACCTTGTGCTTGTTAGGAATTTCCTATCAGGTTCCAGAGAATTAAAAACAGGAAGAGGAGGGGATTCTTCCCTGGTGGTGCAGTGGTTAAGAATCCACCTGCCAGTGCAGGGGACACAGGTTTGAGCCCTGGCCTGGGAAGATCCCGCATGCCGCGGAGCAACTAAGCCCGCGACCCACAACTACTGAAGCCTGTGCACCTAGAGCCCGTGCTCCACAACAAGAGAAGCCACCGCAATGAGAAGCCCCCGCACCACAAGGAAGAGTAGCCCCCGCTGGCCGCGACTAGAGAAAGTCCACGCGCTGCAACGAAGACCCAACGCAGCCAAAAAAAAAAAAAAAAAAAAAAATCAGTAAAATAAATAAATACATAAAACTAAATAAAAAAGGGAGAAGAGGGATTTCCATTTCCCCATTTTCTAGGACCCTTTACTTAAGTTTTCACTAAGTAATGGGAATATATCAGTTTGGCAGCCAGAAATAAAACCAGGTTCATTCATTATCATTCCACAAAGAACAAAATCTATAAACAAATAAAAAGTCTTAGCTGTAAGCTTTTCATGGATGGATTATCAAGTCCACAGAAATGTCATGACATCATCTATTTGGTATTCCTTTTTCTTTTCTCCAGGATTTAAATGAGACAGGAACCTATATAATAATGATCCTGTGGGCATCTCAGGCAGGAGGCAAACAAGAGAAGGGGGAAATAAAGTGGCTCCTGGGCTTTTCAGTTTCCTCGGCACACGTCCCAGTCAGTGAATCAAAGCTCAACTTTCTTCAGGCTGAGGAGCTGTTGCTTCCTTGCTTTTCTATGACATCCTCCTGGCTTCAGGCCTGACCTTTTTTTTAAAAAAAATACAAACCTTACTGTGGGAGAACTGTGACTCTATGATGCTTTCAGAGAGTCATGGGTTATTTGTAAGACAGCTCATTAATCCATTTATTTAAACACCATGGGGAACATATTATGCTAATCAAGTTGATAAAGGAGACCTTAAAATTCAGGAGACAGTCTGAAATTTGAAAATGTGGAGAAACGCCAAACTTAAGTTTTCATGGAAGGAAATCTAAATTTTTAAAAAGAAAGCTGTGACTTAACAATAAGGATGACAGAAAGAAGGGTCAGTGAGTATCTGAACAGAAGCAGGGGTGGGGTGACACACAAGTGGCAGGAAGCAGCCATCTATGCCAGCCAGGCCACCCTGACAGGGCTGCCACTCAGCTGCCCCAGCTCCACGAGGGACTGCCTGGGAGTCACCCCACCTGAGGGCGAGGATGTGTCTGCCAACCTGGCAACGTAGTCCCCACTCCCCGCTCTGCTACGACAATTTGAAAGTTTTGAAAAGTTTTCTCCCCCAAATCAAAGTCAAAACAAGTTCTTTAAAAACAACGTTCCCAGGGCTTCCCTGGTGGCGCAGTGGTTGAGAGTCCGCCTGCCAATGCAGAGGATGCGGGTTCGTGCCCCGGTCTGGGACGATCCCACATGCCGCGGAGCAGCTGGGCCCGTGAGCCATGGCCACGGAGCCTGCGCGTCCGGAGCCTGTGCTCCGCAACGGGAGAGGCCTCAACAGTGAGAGGCCCGTGTACCGCAAAAAAAAAAAACAAACAAGATACATATGTATACAGGAATTCTAACAGAAAATTTTATGACATATTCTTGTTAGGTATTCAGGTAACTTCCAAATACATGTACAATATATATATATATATATATATATATATATATATATATGGCTATCTTTAGCTGCTGTTTCCAAACCCCTACATCTTGTTCCACTAAAGGATGGAAAATGCCATTTCTGATTTACATTAGGGTACTCTAACTGGAGTCTTTTTACTTGTCCTGAGTTCAGTGTCGCACACACTCACTCACCTGTGACTTGCTTATCTGGAAGAGAAGGGATTGGAATGGCTGACCCAAACTTTACCAGTAGACGCTCATATAACCAGTCAAAGTGCTTATACCTGTGGTTTACAGATCGATTAGTGTTCTACAAAATAAGGAAAGAGAAAAACGTTACCAATGCCAACTACAGGAAATGAAGAAAAAAGCAAATTGTTACTAGTGATGCAAGCATGATTCTGCTTTGATAACTTGGATACTTACAGTAGGTGTTAACTGATATTCAATGTAGCTCTTCAGACCGTACATTTTGGAGCCTTTCCTGGGATCTGCTACCACACAGTCAAATGTAGAGGTAGGATAAACCCACATTGGGCCATAATCTCCAACCTACACAACATTGCAGGGAGAGTTAATTTTGTTACACGGAAAAATAGTAAGTATAATTGATATAAATCATCAAATGATTCTTTTTAGGACTAGAAGTCCCTAGGAGGGTCATTTTTGCTCTTCTTTGAGAAGTTATTTACATAAATACTCTCTGTTCCTACTAAGGTTATATTTAAAGAAAACACTTAATGGGAGAAGCCCTTCTGCTCCCACATGGGCATCGCAGGCCACGGAGAGATGCCGATCTGCCTTTCCTCTAGAGAGATGGAACACAACCTCTCTCTAGTCCAGCTGTCTTAGTTATATGTAATGAGGGGCTAGTTTTTAAAAATTTCAAATCTATTGCAGACTAAGAGCTCTGTGAAATATAAAATTACACACTTGGATGTCTCAGCAACGCCAAATTGCCATCAAACTCCCTCTACACTTACTCTCATTTTCTGTATACCCTAATGCTTCATATAGTTCTAATTCTTTTTAAAGGTGAAAGGAGAAAACAGTGAGGTGAGGTATGAAAGTTCAGAGGCTATTAGGTCAGGATGGTAACTGGGGCCCAGAGAATTTTAATGAGGGACTAAAGATCTCTGACAACAAGTTATTATGATTCTCCAAGAGGGAGCCCAGATCCAGAAAACTCTCTTAAAGCTGCAGAGCAGGAATCTTTAATAGGGGCCTCTTGGGAACCTCCCTTAGTGACTGGGACCAAGAGAGGCGACTCTGATCAACTAGGGCCCAATATCCACAGGGTCACATTTTATTAGTGGGTAGGGTACTGCACCTTAAAAGCAAAGGACCAGGTCTCTACTTTCTCTTGGTTTTCTGAAGGCTCAATGGCTTTCCTCAGCTTCCTTTTCCACATAGGAAGCCCACACAGGCAAGCCTGCCTATGGACCCAGTTTCACCTAAAACGTGTGAGACAACTCAAACACGGGGGTCTTTTAGCTCTGTTCCAGGACTCTCCTGCTTATGACAAAGTCCCCTGTGAGAATCTGAGGGGCAGGGCCATGGGCTCTTAATTCTGTGGAGTTATAGAAGAAAACTAAATCTCTAACCTATAACCACTCAGAAGATAATTACCCCAAGTTTGCTTTGAGGGAGGAAGGATACAAGGGCTCTGGCTCACAGCCCTGCTCTCTGGAGTTTTCTAGGATTTCAAGCTTTTCAAAGAAGTAGGAACAATATAAAAAACTCAATATCATTCCTGCAATTTTATCGAGTTTCCCAGGACCCAAAGATTATAGAATAAGACCAGATCTCTCCTCCTTGTTTGAGTCCATGGTGATTATATTCAAGGCCACTTACCCTCCTGCCCTGCCCCCAACTTACAGTTACGGGATTAAATCAACAGGGTCAGAAGATAGCTGTAGTTCTCTTTGCCAGAATTTCATCTGGAAATATACAGCTACATAACATTTAGATAGAAAATCTATCAGCGACCAACATTTAGGTGAAACCACAGAGCCTGTGTCATGTTATGTAATAAGCTATTCAAAGACAGATATACTTAATGGTGCCATTAACTTCCAGCTTTTATGTACTAGCTCCTTATCACGACTCGACAGCTGGTTTATTGAACGAAAACTATTACCAACATAGTGGAAAAGGCAACTTATTCTGATAACATGCATGTACTTTGCCAAGGTAGAAACCTAAATATCTGAATTGGGTTTTTTAGCTAAATATGTACGGCTAGTAGAAAAACAGCATGTAAAAGATACTTCAAGATACTTTAGAAAAATTATTAAAAATACGTATGTACTATGGGTGTTGTTTGTTCAATTACTAACAGTCTGAAAGTTAAAAGTAAAGAATATCTAAACAATATAATAATGGGCATTAATTCATGCCAATTATTTTCAGTACACTTAAAATACTAATACACACTGTCAGTTACTTACTTCGAGCATTAAACGTGTTTACAAATACTTTCCAAAAAAAACCCAAAAAACTTTCCAAATGACTAATAACCCTCTTAGCTTTAAGGTATTATAAAAGAGCTCAATCAGAAACAAAGCAAAAAAAAAAAAAAAAAAAAAAAAAAAAAAAAAAAGAACAAACTTACAATGATAGGAATTTTCTCTTTGGGTTTTGCTAGTTGCTTGGCCAACAAATACTGTTCCATTCCAGGTTTTGCAAATCCAGGAAATCTAATCATGAGGATAAATGCTTGTGAGTCTTATGCTTTTCCTTCTAAGAATTCTACAGCTCTCATCCACGTTTACTTAATACGACAGTCTGAACTCATTCTGTCTTCCAGATGTACTAGAACTAGGAAACTACGGTAAATGAAACCTAATGTAATCAGATCGTTCAATGGCCAATTAGTCATTTAATTAAGCTTTATCTGGTAAGAGGACAGTTTGACTCCAGAAGGTGTGGCACTTATGGGCACTCTATTTGCTTGATCTGAGACACTCTATCACCACATGAAGAGTGAAGGGCAGACTAGAAAATGTCCCCCAGGTACAGAGGTAGAAAGTACTGAGCACATCAATTTGAGATGACCACATGGGGGGAAGGCCACATGCTGGCATTTTTATATTCAAATTAAAGCTGCCTTTCAACATTCTCCCTCGGGAGGCCACAATTATCCCAAAGAAACCGCCACTGTTCATAAGTACTTGTGCCATTTTCTTTGGGAACTGCCTTCGGAACCAGTTTATGAGACACACACACAAAAAAGTCTCCTTAGTAGAGAGACTCTAAACATAATAAACTTGGCTATTTCCAGAAATCAAATGTACATCCGAAGCGAAGTTCTAAAACTGAAGAAAAGCTGGAATAAATGCGTGGCCATCCAAAGCGCTACTTGTAAAGAAGACAAGATTAATCTGGGTTTTAGAATTTTTTTTTTTTTTTAATAAATGGGGAAAAATTCCTCAGAAAGCAAAATACCTAAAATAGGAAAAGAAATCTTATTTCTACAAAAACCAGCTGTCTTAATTCTGATTTCATTCCTATACCAAGTTAAAGGCCAATGTGATGCTCTCAGGGGCTCATATCTTTTCCTTCATTCTGGACTGACCTCCCTCCATTCTCTTTTCCCTGGACCTGCTTCAAAACACAGCTCATACAACAGAGTACAAGAGGTGTCTAGGAGCTCGATGGCCTTGGGTTTGAATTTCAAGTCCAACACTTAATAGCTATGTGACTTTTAGAGTGTGCCTTCTTATGTGAAGAATGGGACCAATACGACCTACCTTTAAGGTGGTACGGGAATTAAATGAAAAGATTTAAATAAGGAGTTATCTATATAAATCTAAAGGCCCTAGTATGTACTCAGAAATTAAAATGATTTCTAATGACGCCATCAGCTCTTTGGAAATACCCGTTACAGCCTCAGGTGCAGCTTCCTCTGTGCTGCTTCAGTGTTCTGAGCACACTGCTGCTCTTCAGCTTATCGCGCTGCAACTGCCATCATCCATCTGCACATCACAGCAGACTAGAAGTACCTTAGAGAAAGCATTTGTATTTCCAGGACCTAGAGGAATTATGGGAATATACTAAATGCTTAACGAATTAATGGGCTAACCTGGAACACTTTTATTAAAAAACCTACACTTTTGCTAGAAAACGCTGATGGAGAAATTGGGGCATTACACACAGCAACAATTCCTTGACTAGACTGTAAGCTTCTGAGTGCAGAGAGCACATGTCATGTTTCTTTTGGTATCTCAGTGACCACAGCAAAACTCTAGAGCTGACTATGCACGCATTTAATACTTACTGAACAGCAGCGCAATTGATTAATTCTTTCAGTATTATCAAGATGTATTCTTGTAATGCTCAAGTATACTTAAATGTCTGATCTCTGTTTCTAGCATAAGGTTTAGGCTCCATGACTGGATTATAGCTGTCATATAAAATGGATTAACCGCTGAAAAGTGTTAATATTAAAAAAATTTTTACAACTGTTATAAGTAATTCATTTATACATTAGTCTAGTTAAATAAAAATATGTAGGGTTTAAACGGCTCCCAGCACCACAGAAAGCGAGGGATGCCTCAAAGGTGCAGGTGCATATTAGGACTCCTTCAATTTGGTTTCAACCTAGACTGAAATTTTAGAGCAGACAGAATTCTTAATTAAAGCCAATCCTTCACTTTAGAGATGAAGAAAGTTGAGTTTGAAACAGGTCATCCAACTTCCCCATGATCATACAGCAAGCCAGAGGGCAAGCATGGAGCAGTGGAAACCACAGGAAAGTGGAGTCAGAGGCCTGGCACGAGCCAGAACCTCACGAACTAGCTACGAAAACTCAAAAATTCAGCTAGCCATATTTGTCTCACAGGTCCTGCTTCCTCATTTTCAAAATGGGGCTGAGGGATACCTTATATTAAAATGGGTTTTAAATATACTTTGTATTTAGGTTTAAAGAACAACTGAGGGTAAGGTACGTTACTACAGAACATACTGAGAACTGCAAATCTCACTTTAAGAAATAGGATACAGTCAATAATGACTGATTGTACTATGCATGCAACTGAATGAAAATACACAATGGAAGAAACTGGACAGAAATGCAGAAGTGTGAGCTAAAAGATAACTCATTTAATTACCAGATGGTATTTAAATACAAAGGAGAACTTGCAGGGCTCATTAAACTTATACACATGTACATCGAGACCTAGAAACGTGGTATCTAGATATATATCAAACATGTTTACAATTTTTTTTCAGACATAGATTAACATTCCTTGATATCTGCTTGGAATCATGAACTTGGAACACTGAGAAAAAGTATGAGTACTTTTAGAAAAACTATTTTAAATATAACTGCTGTAAGCAGGGTACTTGAAGATAAATCATATGGAAGTCACAAACTACATCTCCTTCAAGCTACACTGGTGTAAACTACAGACGCACCCAGAACTCTCTACTAGGGAATTCCATGGGGCTGTGTCCACAGTCACCCCTTCCCACATGCTTTCCTGCTAAGCACTGTTTCTACAAGGACCGTTCGAAACATATTTTAAAAAAAATATAAGAATAATCTAAGTGAAAACAAAGTCCTAAACGCATTAAACATAGTAGTTGAGAGTGTGCTCAGGAAGCTGAGGGACTGGATTGGAATCCCGACTAGATCACTTACCACCTGTGTGAACTTGGGCAGTTACTTAACCTCTCTGGGCTTCATTTTCCCAGAGAAAACAGAGATTATATGTACCACAAAAGGGATATGAGGGTCGCATGAGAGAATACACACAAACTGCTTTGCACAAAGCCTGGCACATGGTAAAAGATCAATAAACAGTAAAACGTTTAAAAGGAAGCTATCATGATTATTTTTAGCTTTCCTGTGACATCAGCAATAAAAACCTTAATGTGTCATGAGTTAATAAAGGTAAAAAACAGTATTTAGCAGATCATTAAATGGAACTTATATTTCACTTTAAAATGAAAAAAATTTTTTTAAAAAGAAGCTTCCAAGCTAAGAGCCAAATAAAAAATAAACATGATCAAATCGAACCCCAAGCTTTGTAGATCACTGAAAAGAGAAAAAGCCTCTTTGTATCTTGTATCTGTTTCTACAGAGAGTTCACGTTGCCCCAGCTCCCTTACACCTACTTGTTAAGCGGCAGCTTCATGGAGGAGCTGCCGGCACGGCTGTTTCCTCGCTGGGCACCGCCTGCTTCCGCTGACTCTGAATCCTTGAAGTAGGGAGAAGACGACTTGGGCTCATCCCAGTCTTCATCCCAGTCATCATCGTCACCAGTTGCTGGAGGTGGGCACAGAAAATCGTCAGTAAAGAAAGACAAAAGAAAGACGGGATGACTTAATCTTCTCGGGGGGGGGGCGGTCAGGATTATAATAAAGATGTGAAGAATATAGGCTCTATAGTCAGACAGTTTGGGGGCTTGACGATTCGGCCTTTTAGCACAAAAGACAAGTTAGAAACAACTTCAAGAGGGCTGTTAGTCCAAGTAACTTCAGATAAATGCCAACTATAAAAACACTCTGTGGTATATAGGGAAGGCGTTCTAGAGGCCTATACGTTGATAAATCTAGCTTTATAAACTTGTAACTAAGCAGATCAAATACCCTTTAAGCCAAGAGACTGGGGAGGACAAAAGGGTGATAAGAGTTTTAAAAAGGAATTGTTGGGCTTCCCTGGTGGCGCAGTGGTTGAGGGTCCGCCTGCCGATGCAGGGGACGCAGGTTCGTGCCCCGGTCCGGGAAGATCCCACATGCCGCGGAGCGGCTGGGCCCGTGAGCCACGGCCGCTGAGCCTGCGCGTCCGGAGCCTGTGCTCCGCAGTGGGAGAGGCCACAGCAGTGAGAGGCCCGCGTACCGCAAAAAAAAAAAAAAAAGGAATTGTTTAACACTACTAATAATAAAGGTGAGAGAAGGACAAGGGGGTGGAGGAGAAAGAGAAAGAAACGAGAGATAAGTAGTAACTGACCAGCAATGAGGAGCCTAACATTCTAACAACAATCTCTGCGTCAGATGAGGTGCTGCCAGCTTTCCTCCCTCCCTCCTTTCTTCTTCCACTGTTCTGTGCCTCTGTCTCCCACCTCTGATGGCCTGAGGAGTCCCTTTAGCATTAGGCAGGAAATTGCCCTGGTATCTCCGCCCTAAGAGTGCCACCACGAGAAGCCCAGAGACAAATGCCAAAACGAAAAAAAGAAGAGAATAGAAAGTATTAGAAGGATCTGAGCCAAGAGTCCTGGAGCCACTCCAGGTTACTACAGAAGCAGATGTCAGCAGTCTAGTCTCAACGTTTCTACCCAGTCCACGACTCCTGGTCCTGCAGCAGCCCAGCTCCTGTCCATGAGTGGGAGCTGGAAACCAGCACCTGTGCCCTTTATGGCTCCTGCATGCAAGTCTCCTGCTGTTTAGCACATTCAGTTCTTGGCAAAATCTGCTCATAAGAGATCATTAAAAAATAATGGGTGGATCTCTTAATTTCAGAACAGACATAAATCGCCTTTCTTAATTCCTGAATTGTTTCTCCTTTTAGAAATTCCTCTTTTGCCTCAGTATTTCCATTAAGAACCTGGGAGTCAAACAAGTAGTTAAGGAAAAGACAGAACAGCTACGTTAGAGGTCACAGACCACGTGACCATAAACCACTGAATGTGGCGATGAACCATATCCAATCCGTGTGCACATTTTTTGGGCCCAAATGTGTGTTAGTAGCTAAGATTTTAAAGTGGGAAGATGAGATGAAAATCGAGATTTCTAGTCTCTGTGGAACTGTGGTGGTCCAGGAACACTAGCTCAGTTCTCCTGCAACGGCATCAACCCACCGGCTGGAGCAGAGCTGCCCACCTCCGTCTTCTGCAGCCCCGCCCCACGGGGTTGCGCTGTTGTTCTGCTTTATGAACCTGGCCCCTGCAAGCGTTTGCATTTGTGACTCCTTGACAGGTAACTGAGAGTGGACTAAAGACCATAATTAAAAACTACCTATATTTTGACCCAGAAAAATAAGTTTGCTATTAGTGAATAAGAGCACCTGAGAACAGTTCCTTTGATTAAATCTATTTTAACTCCGATGCCCTTTAAGGGTGGGTGGGCTCCATCACCAGCAGAGCCCTCTTCCTCACCTGGTCCCTGGTAGGCCTGGGGATGACCAAAGGCAGTGTCCCAGTTGTTGGAGGTGTTTCTTTGGGCTGCAGTCCCCTCGGGCTTGGCTCCCCAGCCATCCGAGCTTTCCCAGTTTCCAGATTTGGAAGCATTCCAGGCTGACCAGGGGTCATTGCCACTGCTGACCTGAGGGGTAAAAAAGGAGAGAGTATTCGTGACTTCTAGAAAGCATTACTCAATTCAGTAGGAATCACATAACAATTGAATTGGGGTGCTGAAAAAACTGATAGAAATTTAAAACAATTTAAAATTTAAATAATAAAATTTTAGAAACATGTAGGAAAGCACAAAAGACAGGATCAGCCGAATTTTATTGTTAACAGTTTGCCATATTTGCTTAGGAACTTTACAACAATAACAAAGAAACTCCCTTTCTTTTTCCTTCCCCGAAGTAACTACTTTTCTGAACCTGTTCTCATTCCTGTGCATGTTCTTATACGTCCACCGCGTATGTAATGGAATATGTAATGTATTCATAAATAACAAACGCTTTATATTTTTCAAACTGACCTGAACAACACTGTACTGTATGTAACTCTTTGCAAGCTGTCTTTTTCTTTCACTTAACATTAAGTTTTTGAGATTATACTTGCTGGTAAGAATATGTTTTATTCACTTTAACTGCTTGATGGTAATCAGTTGTATTTTTAACTGTTTTAATTTTTATTTGAAAAGGTAATATGTTCCCAGCAAGAAAAAAATTCAAATAGTATAAAAAGATATGAAATTTAAAAAATATTCCTACCACCTTAAAATGCCAGTCATTCTCTCAGAGATAATGACTCCTAACAAATTCCTTGTATATACTTAAACATGCCATGCAGAGAGAGCCTTTTTGCTTTTAAACATATTATGCGAGCCCAAATTATACTTTCTGCTCTGCACTTTTCTTTTTTCTATTGAATAGCCCAAAACATTCTCCTAGGTACAGCAGCACATGGATGACATCATTCTTTTACATGACTCCCCAGAATTCCACTGCATTTATTTCCCATCATCTAAACAGCATATGCTGAAGCTCATTTATCTTGTTTGCCGTATTTTGCTACTGTGAATAATGCTGCAATGCACATCCTTGTACATCTTTCCTCACATGTCCAATAGATGTATGTGAAATTCCCAGAAGAAAAATTGCTGGGTTAATACAAGTGTGCACTTAGAACGGATAGATTCTGTCAAACTGCTTTCCAAGGAGATTGTACAGTCACATTCCTACACTCCTTCTGCACGCCAAGGGGTGGTGTCTTGCAAAAAATGGGGCTACCCTACTCCAAAACGATTTTTAAAATATTTTCTCCCATTATTCCTTAGCATAATTTTATAGTTTAATTATTAATATTATAAAAAAAATTTTGGAATGGACAATACATGGCACCCAACATCAAGGAGTACTGCGGTAAGAGTACCTGTAACCCACCTCTCACCCCTGGCTCACCCAGCCCTGAGGCAACCAGTTATTTTTTGATTTTTGTTTCCTTAATTTTTAAATTTTAAATCTTCAACCTATATGGAATTTACTTCAGTATACGAAATAATATAGGAATTCAGCTTAATTGTTTCCTGTAGTGATTCTGTTGTCCTGACATCACTTAATGAACAATCCATTTTCCTCCACTGATCTGAAATTCACCTTTATCGTATACTGGACTTGGGCCTATTTCTGGACTCTATTCTATCCTAGTAATCTATTCATACTAGTACCCAGCTACTTTGGAGTCCACTAGACAGAATACCGTTAGTACTTTACCATAACATCTTTTATTGGTTGATTTTTACACGTGAACTTTAGCATCAGCTTCATGTTTTAAAACTAAAACAACCTTTAGTTTTAGCATTAGCATGTCAAATTTAAAAAATGTGCTGATTTTCATTTGAATCACCTTAAATTTACAGATAAACTCAGGGAAAACAAATAGTGCTTTTAAAATAATTTCAATACTGAATGTATTTATTCAAGAACATGGAATAGCAAATTTTTCTCTTTACTCAAGTCTTCCTTCTCACATAAAAATTTGGGGGTTAGTTACAGTGAGAGAGAGAGAGAGAGAGAGAGAGAGAGAGAGAGAGAGAGAGAGAGAGAGAGAGAGAGAGGTTGAGATTTGTAAGAAAATTACCCAAACGGCCTCATACACCTCTCTAATGTTTTAGAATGCTATCATGGTTGGTCTTTTTTTCACTCTTCATCAATTGACATACAGGGTGGATAACTGCCTGCCACCTACCAGAAGCATCAAAAACAGTATATGTTTTACAAAAGGAACTATGATTTCATTCTTACATCTCTATACCTTCAAGAAAAATTAATGAAGTTACTAGTGATTCTGCCTGAAGTCAAATATTAATAGCAGAAAGACATTCATCCTTATGACTGAATTTCTCGAACATACGGCTGACGAGGAGTTACTCTCAAGCCACTCCAGTGCAGACTGGAAATGAAGGCTGCCGTGCTGAGGGCCTGACAATCATGCTTCATTTAAGAGAAACCATTCCTTCCATAGTTTTCTTTAAGTAGGGGTGTTTTATTCAGCAATATATACTCTGTGCTCTCCAAACTAAACTATGAGGTTTTGTTTTTAGAATTAAAAACTTCAAAAGGTATAGAAATTTTGGATAGTAAGATGACAGTAAGTACAGGCATTCATTGTCTAGCATTTCTATAAACTACTGAGGAAAAGGAACAGAAGGGTTATAACTAGAACAACAGGATGAGTAAAAGTTCAGCACTGCCATGACAGTAAGATCGTGTTAGCAAACTGTCAAAGAAGGTTTTCATCAATATTGAGGAAGAAATGGGATATGAAATTCATCACCAAGTAACCTTAAAAAATTAAAACTTATTAGGACAGAAACACATAACATGATAGTTTTTTGAAAAACTACTTTGTTTATACATTGTTTACAATAATTGCTATCTTATTTGGTTACATGTACGATCTTAGCTCTCTACCTGGGTTATGAAATCCTTGTTGGCAAATCTAATAACTTTGCTTCTCTCTGTTTTTTTTTCCCTGGAACATTCCTTCTACCTTGTTTCCACTTGACTCCTACTGATAAATCTTTCAAAACCTGACCAACTGGCAATCTCTCCAGCTTCTATCACTGACTTTTTACTCACTCTCTCTCTCTCAGGTGACCTCCAGGGTCCCTCCTCTAATATCAGTAACTAACAACCGGCTCACAAAGCCTTCATGGTCTGCTTCTCTCTGAACCCACCCTTCCTGCACTTTGGCCTCTGGCTCCTTTGCTTTCAACTCCCAATAACCCTTCTGTCCCTTAACTGCAGGCATCTGGTAACACAATAGTCCACGCCTCTTCTCTACTTTCTTCCAGCTTTCCTTCAATGTCTTCATCCTTTTCTTTCCCCTCCTTTCAGGGCACCAAACCCCTCCCGATTCTATCAACCACTTTAATTAAAAACCGTTCATTAGACCTCACTGACCACAGAATAGATTCCAGACTCCTTAGGCCGTCAATTAAGATCCTAACTTTTCCTTCCGTGACATTGCCTGTCCTCACTACTTGCCACTAACCCTCACTCTGTGCTTCAGCCCGCAGTTTCCCAGGCCTTCCTGTGTCCTTGCCTTTGCTCAGGCTCTGCTCTCCATCTGCATGCAAAGGCTTCTACCTCACCTTCCTAGATTCTGGCCCAGTCCCACCCCACGGAGGGCGCTGGCCTCCGCCTGCTGGCTGACATTCAGTCACACCCTTCCACTTTCTCCCGAAGTTAGCCTTCCGTTAGAGTTGTTGGCGTATCGGTTAGTCATTCCCAGTAGCAAGTCACGGGCAAACATCTCCCCTAAAAGATTCTCAACGTGCCTTACATAAAATGGCGAGGACTCAAATTTTTTATTTTTCTTAAAGTGGCTCTAACTGTGATCCTCTTGGTCATTTGTATGAAGTAGGTATTATTCTAATAATAATAGATCATTATATCTATTATTCTTTAGATATGCACCTAACCTTCATAACATTACTATTATTTCACAAAGAGGGAAATCAGATTTTCCTCATGTATACTGACTTGAGTCTCTTCTAGGAAAATAACCGGCTGTGGACGACCACAGAATAAGCGATTTTCAGCACTACCATGCTCTTAAAATAACAATGCCTTCCCAGTTATGAAAGCTTATCAGTACACTGTAGAAAAGCTGGAAGGTACTGACAGGTACAGATGGACAGAGGGACGGACATATGTGTGATAAAGAACAGTAACATGTTAATGGTAAAATCTAGGAGGCGTGTATATGATTATTCGCTATGAAGTTCACTTAACTTTCCTATGCTTTAAGTTTCAGCAAATGTTGGAAAATCCAACAAACAAAACTTGCACATACAAACATCGTCTTCTGAACTCCATGAGGATGCATGCAAGGGACAAGAGAAGGTCTGTGCCCATCAGGCTCACCAGTGATTTCTTGTTGCCTATGAACATGGGGCCTACACGTTATGTGTTTAGTAAATTACTTGCTAAATTAAACCACTCACAAACACTCACATGTTTGTCTGGATCTCTATTATGAATGGATTTTCACCTGCCTTGCACTGGAACTGGCTGATTATGTCTGACTCGCCCCCTAACTCCCACTCTAACTAAATTAAATGTTCCCTAATGGCAGAAACAACGTAGTCAACACATTTGCTGATTTAGCACTCTAAATTTTTTTTTTTTACATCTTTATTGGAGTGTAATTGCTTTACAATGTTGCGTTAAGTTTGTGCTGTATAACGAAGTGAATCAGCCATATGCATACACATGTCCCCATATCCCCTCCCTCTTGCGTTTCCCTCCCACTTTCCCTATCCCAACCCTCTAGGTGGTCACAAAGCACCGAGCTGATCTTCCTGCGCTATGCGGCTGCTTCCCACTAGCCATCCATTTTACATTTGGTAGCGTATGTGTCAATGCTACTCTCTCACTTCGCCCCAGCTTCCCCTCCCCCCACCGTGTCCTCAAGTCCATTCTCCACGTCTGGCACTCTAAATTTAAAAGCTATCCTAACCTCGTAAGACAAAACAAAGAAATACATTTACACTGTCTTTACATCAAGAGAACATCTAAATGCATCCGCTGAAAGGAGCCAGTAGAGCAGAAAGACAGAGAACGGAGTCTGAGTGGCCATGGAGGGGTGGGGAGCGAAGGGTACTCCTGAGATAATCGGAGCAAAGCTGTGCATCTTACAAATACATAATATGGGGTAAAAGGGGGCAAGGATAAGAACATTGGTCCACTGGTTGAATTTTAAATACCTCATGAAACTGTAGAAATCTGACTGACGTAAACTTCTCATGGGTGCAACGGTTAAGAGCTGAAGCTCTAGAGGCTGTCTATCTGGGTTTGAATCCCAGCTTTACCACTTACTAGCTGTGTGAACTTGGGCAATGTACTCCATCTCTCTTAGTTTCCACTCTTATAGAATGGATATAACATCATAAACTTCCTCATAAGACTTCTGTAGGAATTCAATGACATAATGCATATAAAGCACCTAACAATATCTGGCACACGGTATGCATTCAGTAGTGGTTATCTTACTACATGGGGGCTCATCTAGAGTATACAGAAAAGAATGAAGATTGGTAATCTTTGAGTAAATCCCCATTAGTTTATGCTTTAGAGGAAAAGATCAGTTATATTTCCAAATGGCTTCAATGACAGATCACATTAATAGAGAAACTTTTATTAATTAAATAAGGGATTATAGGCACTTAGGATACTTTCTATTTTAGCCAAAGATCTGTTTCCTTCAGATACATAAGAGAAAGAGGAAGAAGACAGAACTGGTTTGCCATAAAGTTCCAAAGCAACTCATAATTCTTGGGGGTCTTGGCACATTTTCTGTGTGCTAAATGCTGAGATCTTGCTTTTCTTCAAAGCCTAACCCCTACTGCAACAAACTGAGCTACACAATGATTTGGTTTAATGATCCTTCGGCCTCTGACTTCTTTGCCGTCAATTCCAAGAACCCCTTTTGTCCCTCACCTGCAGGCATTTGGTCGCACGATAATGCACTATGTTCCTCCGCTAAGGTTTCAAATTCTGAGGGACCTCTCCTATCCTCTTCTCCCAGCCCTCCCTCCTCTCTCCTTTCTACTGAGCAATGTCATCATTCTCTCCCTTCCCCACCTTTTACGGTACCAAAGCCATCCAGACTCTGTAAACTCCGTGATTAAAAATCCTTCATTAGACCTTGCTGTCCATGGAATAAATCCATCAATCGAGTCTCATCAAAAGTCTCCAAAGTATAAATCCCAAGTGCCCTTCCAACTCCTATATGTCCCACATTCTGTGTTGCCATGCCCCCAAGAAGAGCTTTAGTAAGATACTTTAGCTGAAACAATCACCTCACTTGGGAAAAAAAAAAGGATTACTTCTAGGGGTTTTAAATGTTTATTTCCTCTTTCATTCAAGTTTGAATTTTACCTTATTTATGGAAGGAGAAGGAGGTGGTGATTGGCTGAGACTTTCAATACGACCAATCTGAGCCAAAACATCCACCTTAAAATGAAAGAAGATGCTCGGTAAACAAAGGGGAAAAACAGAGTATACCAAAGCTAACAGCAGCAGATGCATAGCAGGGCTAAGTTCACCAGAAAGTTCCAGCATGCCACTCGTGCACCAAGATTACATGCAAAAAGCAAAGCCCCTACTGTACAGTGGTGGTTTGTCTTCCGTGCATTAGTATATATTCTAAAGACTCTTGCTGTCATAACACAGTATCACTGAAATACTAAAAATAATTATAAGCAGCACAGAAGGACTGGAACAAATATCATGCAAGTCATACAGCCAACGAAAAAAAACTCCAGAGGAAAAACATAGCCAAGCTTTTAAAAATGTTAGAATGTTGAACCAGGGCCTTCAAAGCCACCAGACATGTGAGATGAGCAAAGCTTCCTGGAACCACAGAGCCACGGAGAACGTACCAGGACCGGCTAAGAGCACAGAACAGCCTGCGAGGTCGTGAACTCTGTGTGCTCCTGAGCTGACTGGCTTGGTGTGCAGTGTCAACATGCGAACAGATAACTGATACACCCTGTGGAGCTAGGCAATGGCCAAATCAGCATCGCTATTAGGAGGACAACCTTGGAGCCCAATTTCCAGGCTTCGAATCCCAGCTCCACGACTATCTAGTAGGGAAGTCATTACTATTAACGTTTATATAGTGTTACGAGAATGCACTTTTCATATACAACTTTCTTGTGAAGAAAGTTGTACCATTCGTAGATGTAAATAAACTTGTTTCTGGAAATCCACTAGTAATACACAAAGAAGATAATCAAGATGGAGTAACTGGGATCCAGTTTACATTTCCACTTAAAACTAAAAAAGACAAAATATATGAAACTGTCTTCAAATCATTAGACGTCAGGCAATCAAGGACCTGACTTCTGCCTAGAGAGACTTTCCAGGCCATGGATCAGGGACGGGGAACCCATGCAAAGACCACTGGTCTCTGTGAATTAAGAAGACAGAGCTGGGAGTCTGGAGCAGAGTACTGAGAAGCAAAAAGCTGCACAGAGACCTCCGGAGATAAGTAGGGGACGGGACGGGACCCCAGGCCTTAGGCTGAGTACTGATCAGCATATGCACGTGAGGGAGCTGCCATATGAAAGGTTAAGTATCAACCCCTTAGTACGGTGGTTCTCACCAGCCAGAATGGAAAACCTCATGATTCATAAGGGTGACAGCAGGTACAGCACTGAAAAGGCTTTTGCCTCAACAGAGAGGCAAAAATATCCCTAGACTGAGCATTGCTCTGGTCCCACTCTAAAAAGCTTAAACTGAAAGAATTAAACTGTTTCTACGTAACTTTCTTTTAAAGAAAAACAAAACAAAACAAAACAGTAGTCTGCAACTGCTGACCACAAAATAATAGGTCTGGTTTTGTTATATTTTGCTACTTTGTTGTTACTTTGCTTCTTATAGGACATCCTTGGGCCACCAAGATGAGTAAGAATCAAACTCTTACTTCTGACAATAGGCATCAATGAAAATGCAGTAAGACCTGGGCAAGGGCCTGTTTGGAAACAACAGTTAGATCGACTTGATTCACTGGTTTCCCAGTATGTTCTGCTGGTTTCAGGTGAAATAAGTTCTTCTGGTTTCCCAGTTCTTCAAGACATGGTCTAAGAACTTTCACTGCACACATCATGAGACAACACTGGGAGAGGCTGGGGGCAGATGCAGAGATGGGCAACAGATGCCTTTATTTCTCTCTGTGCCCACTTGAACAAGTTCAGACTTCAAGGGTGATCTAGGTCTGAGAATTAACGAGAAAGATAACTTATATTTCATCAAGGTTGCTTTCTGTTTGGCGTTCTACCAAACCAGCCAACAAGAGTACAAAGAATATATAAAGGTTCAAAAGATACTGATGAGTAGGCAGAGCTCCCGCTGCCCACCTGGTTCCTTACAGAGGATGCCCAAAGTTCAATACAGGTCAACACGGACCATTCGGTTTGACAAGTCTACCAGGTAAGAAGAGTCGCTAATCGTGGGCTCACTATCTTGCGTATTATCATCTCGGGGGAAAGGCTCTGGAAGCATCATTCGAGGGCCCACCTTATTACCACACAAGGAAATCCTCAGTCACATACATCTACACCCTATCGGTTATGTTGCTATGGCCAATTACACTGCCATTCCCTAATATATACGCTTGGAAGGAAAGAAGGAGGGAAGGAACTTCCAGAGTAAGACTTTGGCCAGGGATATACAACAAAAATGAATGGAAGGTTACTGGTTTTGTGAAAGCTGAGGTTATTATGTTTTTGTTTGTTTGTTTATTGAACCTCATCTACATGACTGAGGCAAAACTGTCTTTATCTGACATTTCTCATTCATGAAATGTTTAATAACCATGTGCCAATTGTGTTAGGAAGTAGGACTAGAAAGCAAATAATGGGATTCCTCTATAAACCGAGAACATTTCAATCAGTTTCTAACAAAGGTTTCTCGTTCTCAAAAAGGCCCACAGAAGGTATAAAATTGTCTTATGTGAAAAGCCTAATTATTTCAGCTCAAAATACAGACAGAATTTGTAAAATTTCCTATTTTGTTATTTATAGATCTTTTGCTAAAAGCACATCATCTAATTCTACAGATGAACCTCTACTGATTTCAAAAAAACCCTTATAGAAATATAAAACTTGTACATTCTTTAAAAAACAAGGCTAGATCACAACAACAGATTAAATCAATTTGTAGGCAGTCACATCAATACTACTGACTGGAAATTACTTTCCAAAAAGCTTAAATGACTTAACAGATCCTTTATTAATTCACATTCTGAACCCACAGATGACAATTCCAGGTATTTATTTTTTAAATAGAGAAAACTAGAAGAATAAGATTTGCCTTAAAAAATGGAAAATATTTGTACTAGCTTTGAGAATTTACTTATTTTTTTAGCACAAAGTTTTAAAATAGGTAGCTTTATGTGCCAAACAGGATGATGCTATGAGTAGCAGAAGACAATTTGATAATCTGTCTAATAAAGGTCCACGTGAAATGGGCTTTTATAGACATTCTTCTGATGATGGGTTGGGCGTATAACAATGCTGACTGGCCCTTCACGAGGGCAGTTATAAGGTAAAAACAAAACAAACCCTCTGCTTTTGTCATTTGTTTCCTGTTAGATAAAGCCAAATAGCAACAAAACATCCTAAAAAATAAATTTCGCCAGTGTATTTTTGAATGGGTCCCAGATGCACAAAGCTGTCTTATGTAAGGCAAGGGTCTGGGATCAGGAAAGCATGGAAGGTTAACATCACCAGCCTAATTCAGTTTTGAAGAAAAATGTCAACAAATCCTGTATACAGATGTGCACAACCCTCCTTACAAAGCCCTGTAACTGAGTAAAAGGGATTCCTGTGTGGCTGGGAGAGGGGGTGGGGAAATGGAGAGAACCTTTGCAACAGGGGTTTTGTAAAGAGAAAGTCTCAGTAAGCAATTATGAGAAGTCCACAGCATTACAGACCTTATTTGAGATAATGAAATAATAAGCCTTTGTGAAGGTTTCTTTTGCTGATTTATTTTTAAATGGACTACAAAATGGCCTAAAAATGGACTTTTTTTTGAGAAATGTGAAAGCAAAATGTAGTTCCAACATAAAATTACTATTTCCTTCCTCATTCCTTAATAAATAAAAGTTCCTTCATAACAAATACCATCACACTGAAAATCTCTACATAATCAAAAAGATGTTATGTCCCTAAATACCCACTTAACTTTGAGCATTTGTTTAATATCCAAACTGTTAAAAATAATTAAACCCCTAATAAGTACCACGTATTGTTCTAAACACTTCAGAACTTTTTTCCATTTACTCTTTCCAACAATTCTGTGAGGTCTTACAGATGAGGAAACTGAGGCACACAGAAGCTAAGAAGCTCACCATGAGTCACACAGCAAGTATGAGATCTGGGAATAAAATCTAGGCAAGGTCTGGGATTAAAACCGAGCGTTTTCCTGCCCTTACACATCTAAAGGATGCAGGACACCCCTATCAATAACTATGGCTCGCAAAGGCACTCAGGGTTTTAAAGTGGAATGAAAAAGAGAGCACAGAAAAAAAGCAACCTTTCAGAGAAACAGAAATGGGAAAGTCAGGAAGAGAAACTAGATTTGTGGGGAAATAATGAGTGATTCTGTTCATGCAGAGTCTGAGATACAGAGGAGACAGGCAGATAGCGATGCTGAACAAGAGGCTGGAGACTGAGCAAACTGAAGAGAAAATTCAACACTGGAGAGAGATTTCTAAGGGAATCTTCTGCACGGTTAGAGAGGGTAGAAGAAGGAGACAGGTTGGAACAAAAAAGGGTAAAAGTGGATTGAGACTGTTCCATGGAGAGGGGAGAGGTGAAAAAAGAAGGAAATATTTCTTAAATGTCTTCCGTGAGTCTGACACCGCTTTATACCAGTGGCCTGGTCCTCCGATAGTTCAGGAAGCAGCCACGACTCTTACGAAGTGGAGCCAGACTGTCAACCCAGCTCTAACACCAAACGTTACACCAGGCTTCCCACCGCCACCAACCCACATGGAGAGGGGGAAGGATGGGATGAGAAACCGTGAAACAGAAGAACAGAGATATAGCCGAGGGCAACTGGGATACAGTGTGATAAAGAAAGCAACGAGAATTTTAACAAAAGGAAAAGCAGTTTATTCCAAGTATGTACACCTTTCTAGTTTAAAAAGGATAGAAAAATAAATCCCTCAAATCAAAAACCTTCAGATAAAACATCTAGGTTTATACAACTTTCAATTAATGTTTAAGCCCCATTGTTCTTTTAAAGGTACAAACAAAAACTTCCCATTAATTTCTCAAAAGTAAGTTCTGCAAAGAGGCAGTAATCTAAGAGTCTTTAAAAAGATCTATACTGAGAAACTTTTTATAATCAATGATATAATTTAAACACTAATAGCTGGGAGAAAACCCAAATGAGGACAGCTATTAACACATGTTTGGTAATAATGTCTGAGATTCATTTCCACCAGCGGGTTAATTCATTCTAGCGGCACAGCTACTAACAGGAAATGCTCCTGAAACTGTAAAATATCAGATAAATGACTAATAATGAAACCAGTAATGACCACTAAAAACCATTCTTCTTTTCTAAAGGTACTGCAATAGCTGTCCTCATCCAACTTAAAATCTGTAACAGAAAAAGAAAACAAGAACCTGACTCATTTCTTGGATATCCTTCAATAATTTTTCTACACAATTTGCATCTGTGGTGTGTATATATTTAAACACAATAAAGATAACATTACACACAGTGATCTGCCTTTTTAAAAGCCCATTCATCCATATCTGTATATCTGAAGCTACCCTTATTCTTCTAAAGCAGCCCTGTTTCCCATGGTGTTGCTGTCCTGTAGTCTATCTGACCAGCCCCTACTGATGAGGCACACATTCTAGGCTTTGCTGTTACAACAGTGCTGCAGGAAACCTCTTCTCCTGCCCAGATGGCTGTGTTCTGAGAGTAGAGCTGTAAGATCAACTCAGAGTGCTGGGTCAAAGAGTAGATGCACCTCAAATATTAATATATATTATCAACCTGTCCTCCAAAAAGCTTCATCGATTTATCCTTTACCAGCTTCATACCAGAATGCCTATTTGAACACGCCTTTCTTCACACTAGGAGTTAAAACATTTTAATTCTCTGCTAATTTGCTAATTTCAAAATGAGCATTTCCCTATGTCTATTGGCTCTTTGTATTTCTTTTCCAATGAAAAATCTGTTCATATCCTTTGCCCATTTCTTCTGAGTTGTTTACCTTTTTCCTACAGATTTACAAGAGTTCTTTGTATATTAAGAGAATTAGCTGACATCTCTGGCATGTTAGAAATTGTTTTCCTAGTTGAATATTACTTAAAAAAATTTTTTTTATTTATTTATTTTTGGCTGTGTTGGGTCTTCGTTGCTGCACGCGGGCTTTCTCTAGTTGCGGCGAGCGGGGGCTACTCTTCGTTGCAGTGTACGGGCTTCTCATTGCGGTGGCTTCTCGTTGCAGAGCACAGGCTATAGGCGTGCGGGCTTCAGTAGTTGTGGCACGCGGGCTCAGTAGTTGTGGCTTGCGGGCTCTAGAGTGCAGGCTCAGTAGTTGTGGCGCACAGGCTTAGTTGCTCCGCGGCATGTGGGATCTTCCTGGACCAGGGCCCGAACCCGTGTCCCCTGCACTGGCAGGAGGATTCTTAACCACTGCGCCACCAGGGAAGCCCCTTACTTTTCGAATTAAATATATCAATTCTTTCCTTAATGGCTGCTAGAAATTGTGCTGTGCTTAGAAAGACCTTCTATATTCCAAAGTTAATGAAAAAAAATGTTACCTATATTTTTTCCAAGTACTTAAAAAAATAAAACAGCTCTATCATTTTTCAAATTAAATTGTTCCAACACATTTAAAGAATAATGCATTATATTCCTTTGACATTTACAGTTCTAGTCTACACCTCAGCCAAGTGGCTGGACTGTGTTTTACAGGTAAAGGGTTCCCTTACATACTAGAAAGGAAAGAAGAAGATCATAATGGGGGTTGGGATGATGCATCAACATTATCTACCTCTACACCAGTCACTGCACTTACCTCTGTGATTGCTCAGTAAGAAGCTAGAACCAGAAGGTACCCCAAGCAACCTGAAATTAGGAGTTTTAAGAAAAAGAAAAGGAAGTGCTATTTTACATCTTAAGTTATAAATAAATGTATGAACTAATTACTGTGAAATGCAGTATAGCTCAAAAATACAAAGTCAGTGAAGACTCAGACAAATTAAAAAGTAACAGGCTCAAAATAAGTTATTCAAGAACATCTGCAGATGGATGTAAACTTTCAGAGAGATCTCTCTAAAAAGATACGGTTTAAAAGATACAACAGTCAGAAAGTTGGATAACCAGTAGCTGAATGTGAGGCTTTAACCTGCCTGTGCAGGAAGAAGGCCAAATTGAAACCAAGTGGTGCTGAGGAGGCTCAAGGGATACTGATGAGAGAGTGTGCACAGTGTACCGAGCTGAAGGGGGGCCCTGCCTGCCTGATGGCAGAGAGGAGAGGCCTGGCTCCTCTGACACACTTATCTCCAAATAAAACTGTCCTCTGGGAACTAACACAACGCCAGACTAACTAGAAAGGCCCAAGAGGTGTAACCCTGGAACAAAAATAGTATTTTCTTACTGACATTCAGAAAATGAAATAACGGGCAAACCTGACAGCCACATTTTTTTAAAGCTGCCAATTAATAATGGTATTTATAAAACGTACCACAGTTTTGGCCCATTTAAGTTGTTCTCACATCCTGGATAACTGAGAGCATAGACGGCTGCTGAAAATATTTTTATTCAAATGCTTTAATTAATTCATTATGGTCATGCTTTCTGTATTTTGTTACTCCTTGTTTTGGTTCATTTTTTTTCTTTGCTTTCAAAGGATCTGATTAGGTTTAACGTCAGATTGGATTGGTAAAACCTAACCTTAAAAAAAAGTCGGTTATACTTTCTTCAAAATAACCTGGAAGAAAAAAATTACACTTATGCTGATCAGTTTATATTGTTACATTTAAATACTGAGGAGTCTTCTTCATAACATAAAATTTGAGCCTGATTTTGAATTTGTGTTTATGAGCTAAAGTACTCCAGTCTACCTTGAGATATTAGAAACAGGACACCGAATTAAAATAAGATGAATGTTCCCATCTTTTGTTTCCTTCACTTATTCTATGATCATCTCATTATAATTCCCCTTTATTGAAATGTCATTTTTACTTAACGCAAACCCTTTCACTGATGTTTTTGTAAAACTCAGTGATTCTCAGCTGGATTGACTTTGCCCATTTGGCAACAACCGGAGACAATTTTGGTGACTGGAACCGGGGTTGGGGCAGCGGTGGGGGGAGGTGGGGAGAGCCGTGAGTGCAGGCCAGAGACACAGCTAGTCATCACAGGGAGGAAGCATCAGGCCCCAAACGTTAACAGCTCCCAGGCTAAGAATCCCTGGTAAAACGTCAAGTAAGGGTTAACTACTATTTCTTCACACTTTATCATAATGGGGGTTGGGATGATGCATCAACATTATCTACCTCTACACCAGTCACTGGCCAATATTCTTAGGTATTACAGATTAACAAAATATAGGAGAATGCTCAACGCTGGTGATAACCTCGCCTCTGAATTTTAAATATCTGAGCCAGACAATGTGTAATTTAGGATGTCCACAAAAGCTATTTAAAAATGTATAAAATCTGCAGTTAACATATGGTAACAGTACTTTGAAAAGCTCTCTTAAAAGGTTAAGATTTAAATATACTGTAAGCAAATAATCATAAGTGATATGATTATTAGGCTTTACCTAATTTAAAGCCTTTTATGTAGTTAAAAATGTCAAGAAGTAACATCTCCTAAAGCCCATTCATTTCTAAAGATGTAGGAGGCAATAACGCTTCCATATCCATCTTCTCAATTTTCTTACTGACACTGGCTCTGGATAATCATTGAGCAATAACTGAACCAGGCAGAGTCACCTAAACTGGTCAAATTCCTTAAAATTACTGTGAACTTGCAGCATAGTTTTCTCAAATTATCCCACTCTTCTAAGTTTTCTAGAAGCAGTACCATAACGGTACCAACTGCTGGATCTACAGCCACTTTTACATGCACTGCATCTGCAAGAGGGGGCTCGAGCTGAGAATGCAAGGAATGTGCCAAGGTCACAGAAATCACGTCCTGTTCCAGCCAGACCTTTGACCCTGACCGCTGCGCCTCAGCAGAGGACCCTTTTCCTTCCTTGCCCTCAAGTGAGAGGATATTCGCAATTTATGGGGTCTGTATTCATACCATGCCAGACTTTTACAAGCAACTCTCAACAAACACCCCGCCTTCTAGTTAATCATCAACTCTAAAAACAGTCTTTGTTAAAACCCAGCAAGAAATGCCACACAAATAACACGTAAACAGCTACTTTGTTTACGCTTTCAGGGAATGGCAAGAGCTATAATGCAGCACAAGCTTTCACAAACGGGCTTTGCTCTCAGTAAAGCCAGTCGCATCCAGCAGGATGATGGAGTAAGATTTACCTGGTTGTTACTGCTGGCAGCTGAGGAACTGGCTTGAGCTGTACTTGCTGAGAGGGAATCGAGGAAGGCTTGGTCAGCCACTGAATTTCCACAAGAAAACTGATCTTTTCCATCACTGGGCAAAATCTGAACATTAGAAAGAACCACAGTTATCTTCATAGATCAGAATTATTTCAGAGTTAGAGCCCCTGAGGGCAAGCAGGAACTGTCAACTAATATGGAAAAGGGATTTCTATTCTTAAAGGGTAAGCAAGCCCAAGAAGATGCCATGATTCCTTTCCGTCAGTATATGCAGAATTCTAGAAATGCAACTAATGCCAGTAGCAACTTAAATTCTCCCATTTTCCTCATTCTTGTTAATTTTTAGGATCCTGAATGCACAGTGCACAGAGATCAAACACGACATAAACATGACACATGTGGACTGGGTTCAGGGGCCTGTGGACCCTCTGAAACTGTCTGGAAAAGGTGGGGTGTCTGAGATTTCATCAGATTCTCCAGAGTGTTCAAAACTCCCCCCGCCAGCTCTCAGTCAGGAGCAACAGACAGCCTTCCCATTCTGTAGGCAGTGCCCAGCACACATCCTCCCAGGGCACTGTTTCTCTCTACTGGAGGGGAGCGCAAGGCAACTTTGTTCTTGATCTCACTCCAACTTTACTCACAGGGCACCAGACAGCCTTAGTTTCTTTCTATCACCCAGGATGAGAGGCAAGCTCACCATGTACCCAGGATTAAGCTCAGTGACCTATGGACAACCAGCAGGGGGTGCCAGGAGGCTGACTCAGAGAGAGTTTGTCAGCTGAGTGGGTGGGTCCCAGGCAGGGAGGGCTCATTCAGGGGCTGTGCACTATCCTTGGCATCTATCACAACAGAGCTTAAACCAGGCAACAGCTCACAGCAGCCCATCCAAGACCCTTCGTCCTTGGGAATGGGAGAAGGAACTGAGAGAGATGTCCTAAATTAGCACAGGGAGAAGAAAGCTACTTTCAAACAGTCTGCTATTTAAACTTTGTGAGTCAATTCTACAGTAAACAGTATTGTAGGCAGCAGCTACTACACAACATTAGCAAAGGGAAAAACAGGGACTTTTATTCAGAATAATTAAAAGTTGCTATCCTTGGAAGGAACTTAATCTAAATATTTGGAGTCACTCTTTGGAGCCTAAGTCTATAGGTAATATTTCTTCTTGGTTCTACTTCAATGTATTTTCTACATTTTATATAATCAGCATGTATTACTCTTACAATGGAAGTTTTTCATTATCTTCCAGTCCTGTCCTTTAAGTTGATAATTCATAAAAAGATATATGACAACGACCAGATTTAATTAATAAATGACAGCAAGTTCTTACCTCAACGTAGTCTGTGGGAACAAGCCCTCGTTCTCCTTTGCTGTTTCTTCCTTCCAGCCATCCTCCACCAACATCCTCAAAAAGGTTAAAAAAAAAAAAAAAAAAGATTATAGTTGGAATTTCCTGCAGTTTTTTTTCTTTTTTTTTTTGGCGGTACGTGGGCCTCTCACTGTTGCGGCCTCTCCCGTTGCAGAGCACAGGCTCCGGACGCGTAGGCTCAGCGGCCATGGCTCACGGGCCCAGATGCTCCGTGGCACGTGAGATCCTCCCAGACCGGGGCACGAACCCGTGTCCCCTGCATTGGCAGGCAGACCCTCAACCACTGTGCCACCAGGGAAGCCCTCCTGCAGATATTTTGCTCTGGGAATTGTTATACATAAAAAAGTAGGGACTTCCCTGGTGGCGCAGTGGTTAGGAATCCGCCTGCCAATGCAGGGGACATGGGTTCGAGCCCTGGCCCGGGGGGATCCCACATGCCGCAGAGCAACTAGGCCCATGCGCCACAGCTACTGAGCCTGTGCCACAGAGCCCGCGTGCCACAACTACTGAAGCCCATGCGACTGGAGCCCGTGCTCCACAACAAGAGAGGCCAGCACAATGAGAAGCCTGCACGCCCCAGTGAGGAGTGGCCCCCGCTCGCTGCAACTAGAGGGGGCCCACATGCAGCAACAAAGACCCAACGCAGCCAAAAATAAATAAATAAATTTATTTTTAAAAAAGTAATTAACATTAACCTTTTCATTCCTGCAGAGCTAACGTCGTTCAAATTTTTAAATTCTTAAGCCTTCTCTTTACATCAGAAAATGATATAATCTAAAAAGAAAACTCAAACTTGAACAACCGATCAAAGATTGAAAAACAGTCTATTAATAGAATGCCATCATTTTGCAGTTCCTTTCTATTTACTGGTCTGTGGTAGGTCACAGAAATGGTTTGCAGCTCTGACTGTCAAGAGGTAGAATGCAAAGGGGTAGAGGTAGAATGCACACCCCTACTTCTAGAATCTGGGCTGTCCTTTGTGACCTCTTTGGCCAACAGAATGAGGTGGAGATAATATGGGGTGAGTTCAGAGGTGGCCTCGAGAAGCTCTGTACACTTCAGCTCACTCTTCTTTCCAAAAGAGCTACTATGAGGATAAATTTGAGTTGCCAGATGATGACAGAGACAAGGCCCAGTCTCCCCGTTGCCCCACCCAAAGCCAGCTAACCCCCAGCAGGAGAAATGCCAGACAGATGAGGCCATGTTGGAGTACTCTGCCCCAGCCCTGCACTGGGTGACTGCAGACCCACGGGCGAGCCCAGGTAAGGAGAACCACCCGCTGACTTGTGGATTCCCGAGCAACAACAATCGATTATTTGTTTAAGCCACTAAGCTTTGGGATTGCCTGTTGTTTAGGAAAACTAACTGGTCCATACTCCCTTAGCTCTCCTGGATAAGTAATATTAATAAACTAAATATCAATAATAACATACTCTATAACAGGATTCCCAGTTTTCAACGTTACTTCAGCAAAATCCTATTTCTTCCTCTTAAAATAGTAAGGGTTATCTTAAATTCATAAATCATACCCTAATTAGTTAGTACCTACCTGAATCTAGGTAACACATTCTTTTTTTTTTTTTTTAACATCTTTATTGGGGTATAATTGCTTTACAATGGTAGATAACACATTCTTTTTAAAAGTCGTTTTAAGCCACAACTTTGTCCATTTCTTGACTACAACGGCAACTTAAATACTATTTTACCAAGAAATAAAGAATGCTTCTTCATTAAAAAAAAAAAAATCAATAGTAGATAAAAGAGTCTTTAATCTCTTCTATGATTAAAATTAGAACCTATTTACTTATATATACCTGGCATATTATATATAACTACATATACTTTTTCTAACCAGTAATTTTTTTTTTTAAATCTAAAACATACAAAATAGGTCTAAAAAAATACTATCAACATTAAGAAACCGCAATCCTCTTGGTCATTCCTTGTTCTCCTTCCTTGGTCTCTGTGCTGCCATAGTCCCCACTCCCTCCCACCTGGTGGGACAGGTGCATCCCTTCCTTCCTCTTCCAGAGTCTCCTTGGCCTTCCTGGTACCTTTCTTCACATGCTTGCTCAAAGACGTCCAGGGAGCTGGCCTATCTCCAGCCCTCAGCTCTAGCTCTGCAATTCTCTTTCTAAACTGATGCAAAGCTATAGGGCAGGGTTGATTATTTGTTAGGCTTTAAACTCAACATTTAAAAAATAAGCTCTTCTTCCTGACTTACGTACTTTAATAAATTCATTTGCACCATTCTCTTAGGTGTGAAGGCCAAAAACCTCAGGGGGATCCTTGACTATTTCTCACCAATAGTATCTAATCAGGCACCAAGTCCTCCTGGTCTGACTCTCCAGAGCCTCCTGCATCCATCTTCTTTCTACTCCTATTGCTACTACCCAAGGTCATGATCCTAGGCTCCAGCCACACCAATTCATTCAATACACCTCTGCTAGATTAATTTCCTTGAAGTGCAGGTCTCATCATGTCACCTCCCTACAACAATATCGACAATAAAACCAAGCAAAACCCTTAAATGAATCCACTGCTTCCCAAATGAAATCCAAGGCTGTAGCCTGGCTTCAGGTCCTGTCTGGTTTGGCTCTAAGATCCTGTTTTCTCAGCCCGTCTCCTACTGGCGTATATATACCTGTACTCCTGGGACACTTGTTTACTTGCAGTGTCCCCTGCAGAGAAGAAAAAGCAGGGCTTAGAGGCCAGCGGATGTGGTTTTGAATCCCGGTTTTGCCACTAACAAGCAGAAGGGTCTTGGGCAAGTTACTTAACCTCTCTAAGGCTCGTTACCCTCATTTGTAAAAAGAGATTAAAAATACCTACCTCACACAGTTCACAGAGAAAATACATCAAAAAATATATGCATAGTACTTAGCCAAACACTTGGCTCACAGGCCATGAATAAATGGTAGCTGAGGCTGCTAAACAACACTGGTCACTTTCTGATCTCTATACCTGTGTCCAGCTGGGATCTGTCCCGGATGTCGCTCCAGTTCTGCCTGATGGAGCCCCATCCAGCTATTTTTAGGGGGTCTTAATTGTTCTCAGTGTTTATATAATAGATTATTACTTCAATATCAATACTTCACAAGCAACAGGAAAGAAATTCATGTGGGTCTGAATGATCAACCCTGTTAAAAAAATAAAATCTTAAAAATAAGTCCTTAAGGGACCAATTTAAACCTAACAGTTCTCTTACCGGATTTGTAATTGTGATGATTTCTCCTTCATTAACTGTCAGTTCATTATTTCCAGGTTCAGCA